GCAGCGCGTTAACATTCGTTAGCTTGTCATTAGCGTTTTAATTTCGTGCCTATTGCTGTTTTTTTATTTATTTATTTTTTTTCTCTCGCTCCATTTTTTTTTCACAAGTTCATCAAACAACTATGGTAAGTAAGAATCATTCATCAATCACTGTGAGTAATGGCTTCTTCTCCAGCTATTGTTGTTTGCACCGCTTGCCACATGTATAGTTTATCTCTCTCTGTCGGTGACGAGGGATTCACATGTGATAAATGCAGGGAAATAGTTAGGCTGACAGAGAAGATTTCAGAATTAGTGACGCGCATCCAAACTTTAATTGAGGACCGTAAGAATGTGAGGGCTCTAGATATGGCTTTGGATGCGACTAGCTTAGGGAGTCCTGTACATTGTTCGTTCCAGTAACAGAGCCTCTGCAGCAGGGCAACTGGGAGACTGTGAGGTGGCATAGTCGCGGGTCAAAACACCGCTCTTCCGTTCCGATCAACACATTAAACAGGTTCTCCCCACTCAGTGATGCACCCACTGAGAAACATGATCAAAGTGCTCTAATTATTGGCGATTCTATTGTATGGCACGTGAAAATTGAGACACCAGCCACTATAGTCCAATGTTTACCAGGAGCCAGAGTGCCTGACATCTTGGCAAATTTAAAAATGCTGGCTAATGCTAAACGTAAATACAGTAAGATTGTTATTCACGCCGGCGCTAATGATGTTCGACTTCGCCAGTCGAGATCACTAAAAATAACATATTAAAGAGGTGTGTGAACTTGCAAGCACGATGTCAGACACTGTAATATGCTCTGGTCCCCTCCCTGCTTACCGTGGTGATGAGATGCATAGCAGACTGTCGTCACTCAATGGCTGGATGTCCAAGTGGTGCCCGCAGAATAACATGAGTTTCATAGATAATTGAATGAGTTTTTGGGGCAGACCTGACCTGTTGAAAAGAAATGGTCTTCATCCCTCCTGGGGTGGTGCCGCTCTTCTCTCTAGAAATATGGCACGTAGTCTTAGAGTTTGTACTTGACTAACTGGGGCCCAGGTCAGGAAGCAGACAGACTGGCTAAATCGACCGTCTGCTAGCTGCCTTATGTCACAGAAATCAGAAACTCTTTCACCTAGATATCACACTATAGAGATTGTCTGTTCCCCGAACTAGAAAATACAAAAAAACGTCCAAACCAATTTAAGAGTAACTATTTAATTGATGTTCAACAAATAAAAAAAAGATGCAATACGGATAAACAAATGATAAAGCTTGACTTATTGAATATCCGGTTCCTTTCTACAAAAGCACTTTTTGTAAATGATATGATCACTGATCATAAACTAGATGTGCTCTGTTTGACAGAAACCTGGCTAAAACCTGATGATTACATTATTTTAAACGAGTCTACCCCCAAGATTACTGTTATAAACATGAGCCACATCCAAAAGGTAAAGGGGGAGGTGTTGCTTCAATTTATAACAATGTTTTCAGTATTTCTCAGAGGGCGGGCTTCAAGTATAACTCGTTTGAAGTAATGGTGCTTCATATAACATTTTCCAGAGAAACAAGTGTTAATGATAAATCCCCTGTGTC